TTGCTGATGGACAAAAGCAAATGAGTGACACTGAGGCTCTTTTTGCCTGTTTCTTTTTCATATCTGCTGAATGATGGCTGTGAGTGTTGAATTGATATGATCAATTTTAATAAGACCTTCATGGATAGGACTAATTTTGATTTCCCTTCTCAGTCAGAGGGAAATTTACAGTCTTTTAGTAACGATAACCTGGGATATTTGAGATGAGTATGTGGAAATCTTCCTTCTCCACATGTCTGCACACATGTACTTCAGAGGATTAACATTTGGTTACATCATTGGCTAAAAGGCTGGGATGGGACATTCTGCTATTCACATAATACCTTCCAGAATAAGAAGGATTTCAGGACTGAGTTTTTCTTTGAAGTGGGTAGAGGAAGGGAGGAGGAAAGGAGAAAAAGAGTAAGAGAAGAAATGAACAGAACTGCAGCTACCATGGGGTGACTATAGCATCGCCCCAAGGCTGTGAAATTCAGAGAATGCAGACAGCATTTGGACTCTTTCTTCAGGCAGAAACAAATGAATAAGTGTAGAGCATCTAGTCAGTATAGTTGTATAGTTAAAAATAGTTAAAACAGGAATTTGCCAAAAAGGCACTTACCCTCCCATATCTTTATAGCCATATTTCAGATGAACTCCTCCCCTAACCAATCTTTTCACTGCTTCCCTAGAAGTTTGCTCAGTAGCAGCCTCAAGACATTTCCTCCACAGGGGACATAGTACTACTGCTTTTCACTGTCTCTTCTGCATCAGAATTAGGCTAGAGCCTCTGCTCCTTTTTGACCTTATGTCCATAGACAGTCCGCAAGGTCTCTCTTCCCCTCTACCCATTTTTTTTTTTAGGCAATTGGACTTGTCCAGGTCACACAGCTAGTAAGTGTCAAGTGTTTGGTCTGAATCCGGATTTGAACTCAGGTCCTCCTGACTTCAGGGCCGGTGCTCTATCCACTGTGCCACCTAGCTGCCCCACACTCTACCCATCTTAATTCATTAACTTGACCAAGGGGACAGAATTGCTAGTTATAACGCTGGCATGGCCAGTTATTTTGGTTGTAGCTTACAGACTCTCCCTGCTTTTGTTAGGGTTTACTAGCTGATTTATATTGTCTTTACTGTGATTGAATCAGGGGGCAACTGTTCTCAGAAAAGTGGCAGGGAAGGGGGAAACAACATGAAGTGAGGGAAGGGGGAAGCAAGAAAAAGGAGAAACCATTCTACGTGTAGTGCCGACTGATAAGGTACTGAAGGCAATATTTTGCTGAGAGCCAAGGAGATTTATGGTCAGAGAACATTAAAACTGGAAAGGGCTTTAGAGGTCATTTAATAAAATAAAATAAAAATAAAAATAATAAAAATTCCTCATATTATTGAAACTTTTTAAACTTTTTGTTATTCTGAACTTGATAAACACCAATAAACATAAACACTTTTATATAAAAAAAACAGAAAAAGAGGCTTGTATATGAAACCATGGATCTCATAAGGTGGTTTAAAAAAAAAGTATATACTCAATTCAACATGGTAGCTCCAATTCTGAACTGCCTTTTCATTTCTTGTATTTTTTTAAATGCTTCATTGAAACTCTTTTCTTTCTTCCTTTAATTGACAGCACTGTCACTAGCTCCCTTTGTCTCCTCAATCCCTGCCTCCCCTCCCCCCAATTCTCCCTTGTAACAATTTAACATCTTCAAAAAAACAAATCCACACATAGGCCAAGTTGAAAATGTATGCCATATTCTGTACCTCTTTTCCATCACCCCTCTGTCAGGAGATGGGAAGCATTCATTATTTATTATAGATTCTCTGAATCATGGCTGGTCCTTTCCTTAAAACAGAGTTCTCAGGTTATTTTTCTTTTACAATGTTATAGTCATTATACAAATCATTCTCCTGGTTCTACTAACCTCAGTCTGCATCAGTTCATACAAATCTTCCCATATTTCTCTGAATCTTTCTTTTGTCATTTCATATGGTACAATAATATTTTATTACAGTCATATACTGTAATTTATGTTCATCTATTCCCCAATTGATAGGCATCCCCTTAGATTTCAATTCTTTCTTTAACAAAAAGTGCTGCTATGGATATTTTTGTACATATAGGTCCTTTCCCTCTTTCTTTTACCCTTTTGGGATATATGCCTAATAGTGATATTGCTAGGTCAAAAGATACTCAGTTTCCAATTTGCTTTCCTGAATGGCTGTATCAATTCACAGTTCCAACAAGAGTGTAGTAGGGTGACTGTCCTCCCACAACCCCTCCAATGACTATTATTTCCCTTTTTAATCATCTTTGCCATTCTGATAAGAGCAAATTGGAACTTCAGAGTTGTTTTCTATTTCTCTTATAATTGGTGATTTGGAACAGTGATGTCAAACTCAAATAGAAATGGGGGCAACTAAAAATATCTGGTGAGCTGCATTTTGACTTAGAAAACCACATATGAACATTATATTCTGTTGTATTTTTTTTATTATTTCTCAATTATAGACCCTGAACATTTTTTGCATGGTTGCTGAAAGCTTTAATTTCTTCTTTTGACAATGCCTGATCATATCTTTTGATATGGCTCTTGTTTAAATATATTTCAGTCAGTTCCCTATATGTTTTGGTTATCAGGCATTTCTTTGTCAGAGAAACTTGCTTCAAAGATTTTTTTTCCCAGGTAAGTGTTTCCTTTCTAATTTAACTGCATTGATTTTATACAAAAATTTTTGTGCAATCAAAATTATCCATTTTAATTCCTGTGGTCCTCTCTATCCCTTGTTTGGATAAAAACTCTTATACACATAATTTTCCATTTCCACTGTCACCACCCCAGTATAGTCCCTGATCACCTTATACCTAGATTACTTCAATAGTCTCCTAAATGACCTCCCTTCCATCAGATTTTCCCCCTTCCATACCTTACATAGATGCCAAGTTAATTTCCTCAAGCACAGACCTAGCTGTGTTATACTTCCAATCAGTGTGGTATTTTATAATGAACTGTGGATTTGGGATTAGAGGACCTTGGTTTCAGTTTAGGCTCTTCTACTTACTACCTATTTACTACTTACTTGGCCAAGTCACCTCACCGCTTCTCTCTAGGTTTTCATAAAACTCCTTTTTTCCTGGTTCTCCTATTATCTGTCTGACTGTTTCTTCTCAGTCTCCTTTGCTTGGTCTTCATCCAAGTCAGGCCCATTCACTCTGGGGGTCCCCCAAGGCTCTGTCTTGGGCCTTCTTCTTACCTTCCTTTATACAATTTTGTTTGGTCATCTTATCAGCTCCCATGGATTTTATTATCCTCTTTATGCAGAATGGCTATTTATCCAGCCCTAACCTTTCTCCGTATCTCCAGTCTCACAACTCCAACTGCCTATTAGACATCTCAGTCTTAAACTCAACATATCCTAAACTAATTAACTTTGGCCCCTCACCTTTCCCTCTCCCAGACTTCCCTCTTCCTGTTGAGGGTACCATCATCTACCCTGTCTCCCAACCTGGGTATTATCCTTGACTGCTCACTCTCACCCCTCATATCCAACCTGTTGCCAAGTTCTGTTGTTTCTACCTTTGCAACCTCTCTCATATAAGTCCTCTTCTCTCCTCTGACATTGCCACCACCGTGATTCAGGCCCTCATCATTTCACATCTAGACTACTGCAGTAGTCTGCTGGTTTGTTTTCCTACTTCAGGTTTCTCTCCACTTCCAAGTTCCATCCAGCTGTCAAAGTGTTCTTTCTAAAGCACAGGTCTGACCATGTCATCCCCCAGTTCAGTCAACTCCACTGGCTCTCTATTACCTCCAGTATCACGTATAAAAACCTCTGTTTGGTTCTTAAAGTCCTTCATAACCTGGCCCCTTTCCAATAGTTTTATATCTTACTCCCCTTTATGAAATCTAATTAAAAAATTTTTTTGTTAACTATATTTCAATATAATCGGTTTACTTTGTAATCCTATTTTGTTTTATGTATTTAAAAACATCATTCTGAGGAGGTTCATGAGATTCCCCAGGCAATCAACGGGGTTCATGACACAAAAAAGTTTAGAATCCCTGCTATCTCATTAAGCATGAAATGTTAATAATAGATTCAGGGCACTGTTCTGGCACAAATATACAAAGGTAATAACTAACATTTTGTAGTGATTGACAGTAATAACTCAGCTATTTAGACAGTCCATTATAGTTTACAAAGCACTTTCCTGCTTTCCCTAGTCCTGAGACAGGTATTCTAAGTATTGTTATGCCTCATTTATGAACTAAGGAAACTGGGGCCCAAGACTTGGTCAAGGTCATACAGCTATTATATATCAGAGCCAGGACTCTAAGCCAGGTCTCTTGATTCCAAGTAACTGCCTTATTTTCTCCAATCTTAAGTTAATTTGTGCAAAAATGGTTCTTTAAAAAAAAAATTCAAAATGTTGTCATTAATGTAGTTAAATTCTGTTTTCAGTGAGAGGCAGTGCGGTACAATGGAGAGAGCCCCGTCTCTCAGTTTCCTCATCTGAAAATGAGGAGATCTAAAGTCTCTAGGGTTTCCAAAAGCGCATCCCAAAGGTACTCCTCCTTCTCCTCCTCCACTACTACTACTACTACAATCACTACTACTACTGCTGTTACTACTGCTACCATTACCACTACCACCATCACCACTACCACCACTCACATTTCTATAGCAGAAAGCGCTTTGCAAATTTTATCACATTTTATCCTCACTACAACCCTGTATGGGAACATGCTATTATTATCCCCATTTTACAGATGGAGAAGAAACCGAGGTGAAATGATTTGCCCACACTGGTCGTATCTGAATAGGTCTTTGAAATGTGGACTACAGGTCTAGCCTTCTGGCCACTGTACCTCCTGCGGGAGAGCAGGTGAGTCCCCCGGGCGGGAGGGTCGTGGGAGGGGGGTGGGTTGGAACAGGGCCCGGCCCTCGTACTGCCTCGGGATTGGCGGGGGAACCGAGGAGGCGGAACGGATGTTGTGGCGGTCCGGGCGCCCGTCCGGCGGAAGGCAGCGATTGCAACGCCGGCGAGACGGAAGGCGCTTGACAGCGGAGGGAGCAGGGGGCGGCCATCGCTTTGTGCTTGTCGGTGGCTCTCGGAGGCCGAGGCCGGGAATCGTGTTCTTCGCCGTCAGGTGAGGGACCGGGCCCGACCCGCGTGCAGGGCCGTGTGTCCGTCACCTTCTGTTCTCGGGACTCCCGGGCGGGAGCCGGCGCCGAGGCCCGGCGCGAGCGGGGTGGGACGTGCCTCGGACCCCGAGCCGCCCTGGGCTTGGGCCCTGGTCCCCGTGTCAGGCCGGCGTCTGGGCGTACGTTGGGGCCCGGGCGCGCTTCTCCGAGCCCCGGACAGCGTGGGCTCGGGGGCCGCTGCTTTGTAGCAGCCCGGGGCGCGGCAGTGACCAGCGGGGCTAGGGAGGTGACAGCCTCTGTCACAGGGGTAGGGATAGTCGCAATTGTGGCAAGTCACTCCCCGCTCCCGGCTGCGGTTTCCCCCGCACCGTTTCTGTCGCAGGACGTTCGCGGTGGAGCGCTTCTTAAGCGTTTCAGCGCTATAGACGTGTTATTAATAAGCGTGACATCTGACGCTGCTGTGGGCTTTGCAGAGCGCATCTTATTTCGTTTTATCCTTAGTAACACGGAAGTTGCTTTCTCTGATTACATTTATTGTTAGTTGTAGAGTACGAATTTCATATCAAAGGATTTATAGAACAAGAAAGGAACTTAGACATTGTCTAATGTTTTTATTTTTCAGGAAATTAAGGCGCAGAAAGATTAAATGATTAGCATAAGCTCACACAAGTGGTGATAGACCTCGACTCACGATTCCAAATCCATGATTGTCTACTATGCCACCCGTTTTAGCCCAGTCTCTTGCTGTTGGATTTGGTTTTTGTTTTAGATACTTGTGAAGGTTGGGGGTGGGGTGGGGCGGGTCAGGGATCAGGTTTTCAGACCTGGTACAAAAGTTTTTGTGACTTTACTTGACACATTTAGTTGGAAGGAAACAGACTTTTATAAAATGCTGTAAAGGTTTTAAAGCACCAGAGTTTCTCAGACTGAGCAGTTGGGAAACTTGTTTTGAAACATATTGTGTACTGAAACCATGATATTATTTTCAGAAATGAACCTGGTCTGGAATTTCAAATGTTTTCCAAATTAAGGTAGAAAAATTATTTGAGTTAAGAAATGAGACCAGAAATTTTTTTGGATGGTCCCATAGTAAGGATTTTATTTCTAACATTTTCTCCACCTGAGGAGAGGCATGTTCATTTGAAAAAAAAAAGTCATTTTGTATCAGTGAAGAGTAATAAATCTCATTGAAAAATTTATAGGGGATGAAGTTATTTGAAGTTAAGACTCAGTGTCTCTGTGTATATTCCAGCTGTGTCTGGTAAATCAGTTTTTCCATAAAATTAAAGTTAGTTCATTTTGTTTTGTATACTTACTTTTTTTTATATGATCATTGATTTTTTGCAGTAGCACAGAATTTTTTAGTTGGAACCTCAATGACAGGCTGCCTCCAACTCCCCAAAGATCTCTATTTTAACAAATCCAACAAATTTTCCTCAGTTTGCAGTTAATAATTTTAATGAAAAGGACCAGTTTTTTCAATTTGGAAAATAGTGTAAAACTGAGGCAAATAATGCTTTCTGTAGTTTTTTTTTAAATTACTTTAGTGTTTGTGGAGTTTTATGTTGTAATAGAAATTTGGGCATGAAATATGACTCCAAAATTCAGCTTTTGGTAATTCACTTTGTTATCATTTGAAGTAGTGGTGTTGTTTTGAATCTTAAGAATCAGTATTTCATCCTATGATTCACTTTTTCTCTTCATCTACATTTCTTTTAAAATTTTCTCTGTGTGGGAAAAAAATCCCTCAACAAGAAGTTTTAAATCATTTTTAGAGATTCTTTTCTTGTTTCATATTTTTCTAATACATTTCTAGTTGAAAAGTTTTTTGATTTAACTTCTTTGTGTAACTGTTTTTTCCCACTCAGCATGAATAAGTACTCATTAACAATAGTAATGATGATAACTGACATTTATGTAAGGCTTTAAAGTTTTCAAAGGGTATGTGTGGTATCTCATTTGAGATGGACACCAACACTATGAGGTTAGTACTTTAGGTATTTATAGATAAGGAAACTGAGATAGAAAGTTCAAATGACTTGGTCACACAGCTAGTAAGTATGAGTCATACGTGAACTTTCCTTATTTCCAAGTCCAGCATTCTATTTGCTATACCACAGTACTGCTTTGTAGAGCTAGACAATTTATTTTTCTTAGTACTTATTTTTATAAGCTGCTGTTCGCATTTATGGTTTGTTTTTTTCCTATGTACCTAGTTTGTAAAAAATTATTTAACAAACATTTATTAAGCACTTTGTGTGTAAGTACTTTGTATAGTAGCATAAAAAGTACTTTATGTATTGCAGTTTATATTGTTAGATTCTTCCATTCTTATATATGAGAAATAATCTTAATGTAATTTCTTTAAAACTTTAAGTTGCAGAATAGGTACTGATCTACTTTAGTAGAAGTTGTTTCTTAATGAGAGTTTCCTCTGCTGATGAAATGACAGGTCTAGTCCTAAAAAGAATCTTAATATAAATATGCTACAGGAAGAATATTGTTGGGGTTTGATATTGACACAGACTAGGTGAGCTGAAGCAGTTTAGTTGCATTCAATCACAGTGTCTCTTCAGGTTTGAGAACAGTTGCTTCTAGTAATTTTTTGGGGCTTTTTACTTACTTCAGAAATTATATTAATCAGATTGAACTAAATTTTGGAGAAATGTTATAAGGTAGCAGTATCTCAAGCCATTTAACATCATAACAGTTTGGACATGGTGATCAGATATGTCATTATTGAACACTTCAGAATATTGGCCTACTTTACACTTCTGCTGTTTTTGAATTGTAGCCTTTTATCATAATGCTTGTTCTGTCATATTTAAACAAGTTGTTTGAAAGAAATTTATTTTGAATGATCATGTCTTTTTGAGTTCAGTTGCATTTTAAAATGTTATTCAACTATAGTAAAATACTTTTTCCTTTGAAAGTTCTAGAAAAATATTCATTCTTTTGAAATTTGTAGTATGTCACTGATGTATTAATAGACATCTCATTAATGAACTAACTAACATGTTATACATGCAATTAAGTCAAAACACCTAAGTGATTTTTGCAGGTTAATTCTTGAATGTGGAATAAATCCATCACACTAATTAGCTATTGCTTTAATTCTAATGATATGAAGTTGGCTTTAATCACCTTTACAAATTGTGAATGGAAAGTAATCCAGATTTTTATGATTGCCTCAGCATTTATAGCAGTACCAAATTCAGTTTCATAATCTTACAATGAAATGTTTGTAGAAATTGTCATGCAAAATATTGATTATAACTTTAGTCAGAAGGGCAGTTATTCATACATCTGTGTTTAGACACAGAAAATGCTGACATATACACTATCCCCAAACTCTTAATTTAGTTTCAATCTTCAATAGCTTAAAACTTCACCAATATTTTTGAAACACCCTGTATGTCATAGGGTTTCAAAGTTTCAAAGCCTGGTTATCTAGGATCTTCTTTATAATATATCTGACATATAGTCATCCAGCCTTTACTGAAACACCTTGAATAAGGGGGAACAGACTGCTTCTACAGGCAGCCCATTTTTCTTTTGGATAGTTGTGTTAAAAATTTTGCCTTAAGTTAAGCCTAAAGCTTCTTCTCTGCAACTTCTACCCATTTCTACTAGTTTTACTATTTGAGACTAAGCTAAACAAATTTAATCCCTTCTATATGATAGTTCTTCAAATACCAAAAATTCCCTATAATTCTTCTAATCTTCATACTTAAAATCTTTAATTACTTAAACCAGTCATCGCAGGGCAGCTAGGTGGTGCAGTGGATAGAGCATTGGCCATGGAGTCGGGAGGACCTGAGTTCCAATTCGGCTTCAGACACTTGATACTCACTAGCTGTGCGACTCTAGGCAAGTCACTTAATACCAGTTGCCTCACCAAAATGAACAAACAAAAAAACCCCCCGAAAACCAATCATCATTTAGCCCTTTACTTATTCTGGTTAGCTGCTTTTGACACATGCTAGCCCAAGAGTTCTAAACCATACCCCTTCTAGAATAATATATTTTTTAATTGCACAAAATAAAATACTTGGGATGTCAAAAGAAATTATATTGAAATAGTTATCAAAATATTTTTTAAAAGTTCATGAACTCCAGACTAAGAATGCTTGCCTAGCCTATCAGAGCACTTCTGTGGCATCCAGAACTGAACACATTATTCCAGTAGAGAACAGTGGCTTGTTACCTTCTTATTCCTAGACACTCTACCTTAGCTGTCCTGGCTGTCATATCACCTTGTTGATTTATGTTAGGTTTATAGTGCACTAAAATGCCCATATATTTTTCACAGAATCTGCTTTTTAGTTATTCTTCCCCATCTTATATTTGTGTGTTTTTTGGGGTTTTTTTGGTGAGGCAGTTGGGGTTAAGTGACTTGCCCAGGGTCACACAGCTAGTGAGTGTTATGTGTCTGAGGCTGGATTTGAACTCAGGTCCTCCTGACTTCAGGGCCAGTGCTCTATCCACTGCGCCACCTAGCTGCCCCCCATCTTATATTTGTGAAGCGAATTTTTTTAACTGAAATGTAATGCTTTACATTTATGACTGTTAAACTTCATTGTAATAGATTTTGGTCAAATGTTTTAGCTTGTTAAAAATCTTGAAATTTGACTTATTCAGATTGTTGGTGGTCTCTCTTAGCTTTGAATTATCTGAATATTTGATAAGCATTCCATTATGCATTTATCCATATCGTTGTTAAAAATGTATCTTTCTAGTTCATGTCTCTCCACTTCATCACAAGAATAGCATGAAATACTTTATTAAATGCTTGATTGCAATCTTGCAAAGCTGTATCTACAGCATTCCTTTCTTCTGCCAATTTAGTAATCCTATACAGAAAGGAAATAAGGTTAGTTTGGCATGACATATCCTTGCTGAAGACACATTGGTTCTTTGTGATTACTGCTTTCTTTTCTAGAAATTCATTAACCACATCTTTCATAATATGTTCTAGAATTTTGCCAGAAATCAAAGTCAGTTT